TTTTTTTCTTTTGGGCGCGTGTTTACGTTTATATGAGAAAAAGTTATGCCATGCGTTGTTGTTGTCGTAGTATTTACTTTGTTGTTGTTTTTGTTTGTTTTTTTTTGTCTTTCCTTCTTTTTTTTTTTTTTTGGTCGAGTGTTTACGTTTATATGAGAAAAAGTTATGCCATGCGTGTGTGCGAGATTACTTGTGTGTGTTTTTGTTGTTGCAACTGGGTAATGGTTGTGTGGTAGTACCGTCTTTTGGTTCTTTGAGAGTGACCCTCTGGCTGCTGGGGCCGCTCAGATTAAGAGCTTGTTTGAGAGTACTCTACAAGCTTCTTTTCTTTCCGTACAAAATTGTGGAAAGAAAACAAATCACGCTCAGATGTGGCTAAATAAATGAGAACGTGGTCTGCTTGTGCTACTTGGTTTTTTGAAGTTTCAATATGTATTTGCTTGTGGACAACACGTTGGAAAATGGGGCGTGCTTTTTTTTTGTTCTTCTGTTGTTTTACTCTGGTCCCCATTACTGCAAGCGGAGAGGTCCGACTGTTGCGGTGTTCCAAAGACTGCCTGTTTGTGGGTTCTCACGAACCGGTGATCACAAGACTCGTTTATGAATCAATTGTGTTTGCCGGTTTATGGGCGGTAAATATAACTGTTTCAAGCTGAAATGCTTGGGGGCAATGGATCCAACTGTTTACCTTCACGTACTTTTTTCTCTCCGTGCACTGAAGGGGACGGGGGGCACTCAAGGTGCATATTCTGCTTCTGTCTGTGTGGATGGCTGTGGAGAACGCGGCCATGTGTAATTGCGTTTATTACATGAGAGTAACGCAGCAGTTCAAAAAAAAAAACGAATACGACGCAACTGTAGGTGAATGAAGGGCAACGAGCGTCAATGGGATGCTTTAGACATACAAGAATGATTAGGTGCTGCTTTTTGCCGGAGGAGAGGAACGAATTTGTGGGATGGCATGCCTGCGGGGAGTATGTTTCTTAGGAGTCGACATGCACTTTTGATCTTGTCACCTTATTCATTGCACTTCTGTGGAGTAGGGAACCTGCAACACCCATTACACATCACATAGGGAAAAAGAAGTGCAATATAATTAGGGGAATTATGGGATGTACTAACACCAAAGAGAAAAGAAGCGGTGGCTTTCGTGGTGAAAACGAGCCAGGTGGAGCGGGCGCTGGGGAATTTAGCACCCTTGCGAAGGAGAATCCTGTTGCCGCAGCGTTGGAAGAAGAATGGTCTGATTTTGTACGTTCTCTGTCTTTTTCTGCCTCTTCGGAGACGCGACGAGAAGTCTGGGCGAATACGGCAAACAATCCCCTGACGCACCGCTCCGTCGATAAGGTCGGGAAGCTCTTTTTGGTGTGCGTAAGAAACGACCTCACGCTTCGCGAGTGGGGCGGTAATTTTGACTATACCGTCGTTGGGTTGGCAAACCAAGGCTTTCTCAGGGCCACCGCCACTGTTGATGCTGGAAGTGGCACTGGACAGTCAAAGGGGGCGGTGTGGGAGGTGAAGGTGCACTATCACAGTACAGCAAAGCCACAATGAGTGCCTTTGGGACGTGAATTATTTGGTATTGATAGTAAATTACCGGGCTTGCTTTCATGGCTTTCCATGTTTTGCGGATGCAGAGGAGGTTGAACTGTGGGGGGTGGGGGGCTTGCTCTTTTCTGCATCGCGTGTGTGTGCGTGTTGGTTTCTCCACTGGCTGGACTTGTCTGCATGCACTGACGCGCCTGGGACATTTTTTACCCCGTCATTTTTTGAATTTTGTTGCGTGTGTGCGGTGAATGGATGCTGCCCTGTTGACCAGTTCCTGCCAGCGTTTGCCAAACTCCCTTACCCCAATTTTTTATTTGTGCTTGTATCTAATGTATCCCATGTCTGCGTCTGCAGCTGGCTCCTCGCGCAGAATTAAGATGGCTCAATTGAGTGCAGACTCCTGCAGTGCTGCTTGCGTGGCTGCTTCTTGCTGCTCGTGCCAAGCAGGCGAATGAAGAAAAACACGTCGACTCTCGTGCCAGGGCGTTGAGCGAGCGACTTTTTTTTTGTGCGCATTCTTTTCTCTGGTGGTGGGATAGGCTGTTTGTGGAATGGTGGACACAGAGTGTGATGTGAAAATTCCACGTGCGTCTCCAGAACGTCTACATGACTGCCGCCCTGAGTTGGTTATCCCGAGCCTGTGGCGCTTTGATGCTGCATGCACGTTTTTCCTTCTGTTCGCGGAAAGGAACGGATCACCTTCTTGTATATATTTTTGTCGTCTGGGCATCTGGGCGTCTGGGGGGGTTGGTGACTGTCTTCTTGGAGGGGGGGAGACAGTGCGAGAAGTAAAAGGATAGAGCAGTGTGGCGTCTGTTGTGGGTGACGCGGGGCGTGGGGGCAGGGAATTGAACGCCTTCTGTAATCTATGACTTTTTTTTTCATGGCGATGGGTGAAGTTACAAACAGTGCCCTGAACAGCTGTGCCGCGCCATCGATTTGTTGGGGTCGACGCAGCTGCGCAGGCCGCGGCTTCCAGTGCGATTTGCCGATTCCGTGGTTCTTCCATGCGGTGCATTTGATGTCGTTTGCAAATACTTTCCCGTCACATTCCGTATGGAAGACCTCATTGAGGCATTTGGGCCTTCTTGTACAGTCGTTGGTTGAGAGACTGTGTCCACGCAGGAACGGTGTTGCGCGGGAGGTTCTCACTGTTCGAAGAAGGAGGGTCCTGAACGAAGAGGGAATGCGCTCCTTTTTTTTTCCTTTGCGATGGGGTTGGCACGTGTGAGGGTGTTGGGTATTGTGACGGCATCTGCACGTGCCGGTGGACCGCTGGCCCTGTGTTGTTGTTGCTTGGACTTTGCCGTGTTGTCACAGTTGTTTTTCCCCATTTTGTCTTCTTTGTTGTGGTCATGTAACGTCTCCCTGTATGCCCCACATGTCCTCTTCACTTGTCAAGAGGGTGCGTGGCGCCGTGCCGGAGGAAGAGGAGGGGGGGGATCTTTGCTCCCCACAGTGGCGCAAAACCGTTTTTGTGCATCGTTTCCTTTTACTTTTTTTTCATTCTCCCGTGGCTTTCCGTTGGCCTGCCCTCACTGCAACGCGCACTTAGGTAGAGACACCTTTTTGGGCAGAAGCCATGAAATTTTTGCGAAGGCCATGGGTTACGGCCCTCCTGCTATTAAATTTGCTGGTAATGGGATTGCTGCTTTACTTTGGGTGGGCAGAGTCCAAGTTTCCTGGCGAAAGTGCAGGGAAATCCGGTGTTGCTCCGAGAGCACCGAAATATATGATGTGTGTTGGAGAAAGGCTTCTGGTGGACGCAAAGACGGGGAAACTGGGGGACGTTAGTGGGGACAATGTTATCCCGTTAATGGTGGTCCCGCTTATGCTTGATCTGGAAGAATTCAAAAAGCTGATGTGCAATATCAGTGTGCCAATCCGGCGGTTGCTCTTGGTGCAGAACGGCAGGGAGGCGAGGCTGCAGTTATACCTGCAAGAGCTTGAGAAGATGTATGGGTGGACTGGGCGCTTAATT